ATTGTTTCTGCCCAGCCTCCTCGCTCTGCTCTGCCATGTCTAAATTCAGTGGCACAGGAGCCTGAATTATTTATTGGTTGAGTGAGTGGTTGCCTTGAGCCTAGTGTGACAGACATGTTTTCTTAAAGAGACGCCCTTGGTGTGTGTCTATCACAGCACGAAGAGCAAAGGCCCACCTAAATCACATTCGACATGGAAACAACAGAGACAAGAATATCACAAACTGAATTATAAATTATAAATAATAATCCACTCAATATGGCCAGTGAAAACAAAGCTGCTACTTTTGAGTGGAAAACATTCTCAGAATAATACAGTGAATTCTATTTCATTACATATTTCTGATTTTCAACAAATCAAATAAAAATAAAATCACATGGCATGCAAGAATTAAAAATACAAAATTTAAAAGTGCAGTTGTCACCAATGGATGGATATTATTTATCCAGTTTTGACTTAACTTGATAGCCTAGTTTTTTGAATGTTGGACACATGAGGGGCCGTACTTCAACCACCTGGAAAACACAAGGTCGGGCACCGGGTGCTACTCTTGCACCTTTTCTGTGCCAACTTTCAAGAGCGTGGCGGCAGGTTGTGTCCGGACAGATTTAAAGCTCTGGCAGCTCTTCACTAACGTGATCAACTTTTCCATGATTAACAGACTATTATTAATGGAAAAAAGGAAATATATCTGTTGGCTGTGATTGGTTGGTCCTCATCACGACATGCAGTCCACGCTGCTGTGTTCCAAATGTGAAACTCAGTTTATCTCAGGACGCAGCCGTAGCACCCTGAAAAAAAAAGGTGCTTGTGAAAGTGCGCGTGCTGCCGCAGCATCACTCTGGCATTTGATGTGTACGGCCCCTTACACACACACACACACACACACACACACACACACACACACACACACACACACACACACACACACACACACACACGCACATACCTCTTGGACAAACAGAGGACCATCAGTGGACACTGACCATGTGAGGACCTCTGTTTCTGGTCATTTTGAAAAGACAAAAATAGACTAAAAAAACGTACTTTTAATGTCCTGTAACACAAAAATACAGCAAATGTGCTTTTCATTAACTTATTCAGTCTCTTTCTTAAACTTGGTGCAGACAAAATTTTAAATGATGTTCAAGCACTATTTGGACGGAGAGGGACGATATTTTGTGGCAGTACGCCTTTGTATCATGCTGGAAAGGCGTAATTTCTGTCCTCCTCTTTTTATTGGATTTATCACATTAACATAAAACGTATACATTAACAATTTAACAAATATGTGTTTCCCCCAAGCCAGCACAATAATTGACAAATAAGTAGTAATACAAAAATAAATACATATATTAAAATACAGCAGTACATAATTTCCATACAATTTCAAATCAGCAAAGTTCTCATCTTTCCAATTTACATTAAATGTTTCTCCAAAGCTACACAGGCCGCAGGTTCCCTTGTCCACACACCAATAGATGGTATATGGAAAAGCTGCAGCAAGCAGCTGTTTTGCACTTCTTCATAGTCGTTTTGTATCTCTTTGTATTTGTTTTACATTTCTTTGTGGTCATTTTGAGTCTCCTCCTGGTTTGGATCAAGGACCATGATACTTTGGGCCCCTGGGCCTGTGTCTGGTAGACCCATTCAGTAATCCATCCATGGGCAGAGCATTACGTGTTAAGACTTATGTTCAATCTTAATAAACCTTGACAATTGTTTTCTAGGGATGGAAACCTATCTGAAAAACAAAACATGACCCAAGTCATTGATGTCCTACCTCTGTTTTGCTGTAAATGAATGTGTAAGTGTGATGTTGAGCGTGCAGCAGAAATGTTCATACTGAAGTCAAAGTGAATGTCAGAGGTAGGGTATTGGCTTTAAAGTCTTTAAAGTCCAGGAATGGAAACCTACAGCCACATTTCTGAAAAACAAAACATGACTCATCAGATTTTGTGATTACATTTTCTCTTACGTTGTGTCTCTTACTTTCGAGTCGAGTAAAATTCAAACCCAAGATGTCATATTTTTTATGGGTAAACATATAGTGAACTCTTGAGGTGTCATGTGCAACACTTTTAACACATATAGTCCATGTGGACATTTTGAGCAGCAGCTGTCTGCAGAGTGTAGTTGGGACAGCAGTTACCAGGAGACACCTGCATTATGACGCTCTGCTGCCACCCAATGGTGTAGCCAGGATATTATTTGGTTACAATCTCATAGGGTTCTGTTTCATCTGAAAAACACTTCTTTTCTAAACAAAGCTCATATTTTACATTTTTTCACCCATTCACATATCACCTTGGAGATATTACTGCATGTGGTATAAGCTGAACACAAATAATTTCTAGAAGCCACCTTCCCTCCTTGCAGTCTGCTCCCTCTGACACAGCTGCTTTTACACTTCCTCATAGAAACTCAGGTCTGTCATTTCTATTACTTTAAGACAGTCCTTTAGACTAAGGTGTCCAGCCTGAGGCAGACACATGCCCTCCTGTGGCTCATTCACTATAGGTAGACAGTTACCGGCAACTGCAGATCTGGAATCAGCTCTTTCTGATCCTGCTGCAAGATTTTCAGCTACCAGTAAGAGATGACTTGACAAAGACCTAGACTATTTAACGTCTTTCATGTAAGACGGCAACTACTGAGGTCACGTATTCTGAAAAGCTTCTTTTCTTTTACCAGTGGCTAAACAAAACAATCTAACACTGTTTGGATAAAGGGTTAGAACCTTTTTGTTGAACCAGAAACAGCCCCAAAACTGCCATCCCAAAACCCACCAATGGGTAAATTAAGGGTTTATTTCAGCCAAACCAGAGCTGGTGATTGTTGCAACAGTGGAAAGGCTAACCTAGACAGGTTTTAGCAGTTTGTTGCCTTTAAATAAAGTGTGTTTTATGATACATTTACTGTTTATTTAAGTGGAGTCTGGTGGGTTTGGTGATTTAGGGGCTTTTTCGGATAAACAAAAAGGTATTTACTCCTTCACAAGAACGTCTATCTCTGTAGGGATCCTTTCAATGATCTTGTCAGACACTCGTAATAACAATCTGTGCCCATCAGTGGCAAAAAGAAACACTTTCATTGGACGTAAAGGAATGGTGTGAGCATGCCCCATTTGATTACATTGATTACAACACTGGACCAACTTAAAAAAACGTTGTTCCCATCAGTCACTTAGACACACACACATGGGAAAATAGGATCCAGGCTGAAAAATACCCTTCAGCTCTGGATATCTCTGTACAAATGTACACATGGCACTTCAAATAGAAAAGATCGACCAAAGAGGACGCTGTAAAATCTGCACAGACTGGCATAATGCCAATCCAGGTGACCCTGCGTCACCAGCATATACAGTACGAAGCTCCAGCCGTTACTTTCTTAACCCAGTTCCATTTTTACAAAACTTTAGTGCTGAGATCTTTAATATCACCTATTTTACTCTGTGTCTACAGGTATCAGACACTTCAATTCATTCTTTTAAAGACCAAATCAAAGACTGATATTTGGATAAATCATCTGTTTCTCATTCAACCAAAAGACAAGAAGTATGTAGTCCCATGCAGAGGCAGGTTTTATGTAGGAATATGAGAGTGAGTTAGATTCATCTACATTTTGCCAGTAGGTAAGTACAAGTGCAAAGTAAAAAGATGGTTTAAGGCTACGTGGTAGGTTTAATTATTTGTAACACTGGAAATGGGAATTTTTGCGCAGAGGAGCTTGACTCATTTTGACAAACATTAAAACCTACTGCAAATGTTTGTCAATGGAAATCTAATGGCTGTATGCTTGATTTTATAAACTTTTAGTGATGAGTTTGCCCAAGGCAGTTAAACCCACCAATTATCACATTTTTAAACATAAAGTGCAAATAACACAAGATGAGGCGGCTCCTCTCCTGTAGTGCCTCTCAACGGTCTTTCTCCTGCCTTCAGTATTTAAAGGTCCAGTGTGCAGGATTCAGGGGAATATATTGGCAGAAATATATATATCTATAT